ACACACACACACACACACACACACACACACACACACACACACACACAATGCAGCCTCTTTTTCTTCCTTTAGACCCTTCTCGGCCGTTCTCTCCCCTTCTCCTTCTTCCTTCTTTTCCACGGGTTCCTCGTCCTCCTCTTCCCTCTTCTCTTCCACTTTGGCTCCTCCCCTTTCTCCTACCCTGACCTACAAGGCGGCCAACTGGTTCAAGGTCTACTCCGTTTTCTCTTACCCGTCCAGCATCCACATTGAAGTACAAGCAGGTCTACCATAGCACCTGGGAAAGGTTGCTGGACAGTGACTTGGGAACCCTAAGCTAGAGACCCTGGGGAGTCCTCCTACACCCAGGCCTCAGAGTCCAGCTCTAGCCAGGTCTAATGTGCCCGTGACAAGTTCATTAGCTTGATTGTCTCTGCTCTTACAGGTTTGTCACAGTGATACAGAGAGGATGTGCAGTTCTTGAAATTGTTGCCCCCTCTGTGAGTCTCCTCCTGTATAGAACATGGGTCTGCTGTGTGAGACGGTGTGCATGGGACCATCCTCAGCTGAGTAGGCACTAATACAGACCATGCTCCATATTTCAGCAAAGAATCTCAGAATTCTCCCTACACACCTCTCTCTCAAGATGGCATATCATTAGATTGCCAGGCTGGCCTTGAATTCATGGGCTTAAACTTTCCAAACAGCTGGGAGTACAAAAGTCTGTCAACCCTTGTCTCAGAAGGATTAAAGAACTTATATCTGGTTGCATTCTCCAATAAAAAGTACATAGCTATATATTCCAACTGTTTTATTATTATTATCATTATTAGTATTATTATTAATATGCACACAGACACACCACAGTGCACATGTAAAGATCAGAGGACAACTTTCAGGAGTTGGCTGTTCTTCATCTAACCAATGCTCTTCTCACAGAGACCCTGGCACTCCCAACAGCCTCAGGGTCTGCTTCCTGCCCTCCAGTCTGGGCAGAAGACCTCTGTGACATGGCATCAGCCAAGTCCTCGCTCACGAGTGGTCTCTGTTGCTTCCTCTCTCCATACATGGAATCCAGTCACCACATGAACAGTAAGGCTAGGCCTCGTGGAGTGGCCACATGAAGTCAGTCCAGCTAACCCCAGCTCTGACCCCACTGGCCACCAGACCAGAGGATGAGCTTACAGATGCTTCACTGGCAGCCTTGAGGCACCGCCAGTGTGGAAAAGTGAGTTCTCTCAGCAGCCCTGCCCCCCAAACTGCAGAATGACTCTCTGAAGTCACCAGGGTTTGCCTACTCCAATTTTTTTCACACAGCAGTGGGTCACTGGAATGCACAGCCCAAATCATACAGCTTGGAAGTAGCCTGGTTTGGTTTGTTTGACCAGAGGCTGACCTATTCTAGAGCCTGCTACTACCAGTGGGTGTTGTTAAAAAAAAAAAAAAATCCGATCAAGGAGGAAGCTTTCAGTGGTAGCTTTAGCAGCAGGTTGTAAGAAATGAATCGGATGCCAAACCAAATGGAAGATTGCCTCAGCTCTCTCATTCAAGCTGCCAAACTGACCGACAGGATGGAGACCAAATGGAAGCCAGCTCACTAAAGTGAAGGCGGTTTTCATCACACATATCATGAAAGAAATAAGCCACCGGCTGGCAAATGAAACCCGAGTGAGCAGGATTATTGGGGAACCCTCTCTGAGGAAGTGATCTGTACGGAGAGTTAGCCAAAGGGCCTGGGAAGAGAACCTGGGGTGGACTGAAGAGCTCACAGGCAACGTCCCTGGAGAAAGAGAATGAGACAGGTGTTCAGGGAGGAGCGGTTAGTGTGGCTGGAAGCCCTGAGGGATAAAGGAGCAGAAAGCAGGAACCAGGGGGCCACAGGCAGCAGATTGGATTGTTCCTGTCAAATACTGGAAACTGTAAGCAGGGAGTCACTGCATCTAATTTACAACCGGAAGTAGATCCCTATGCTGACAAGAATAGATGCAGGCCGAGCTTAGGGGTTGAGGAACATGACTGTGGGGGATGAGTGGGCTCCAGTGCATTAGAAGCCATAGAGAAAGGATGTGTTCTGCTTTGAAGAGCCAGACACTGTTGGTCAGAAGTGAGGACTCAAGTGATGTCAACTTCATCACCCGTTACCAGCTTTAGAGGTAGAACAGTGACGCCACTGTTTGCTTCAACAGGAAGGACAGGCTTGGAGGTGTGACAGGGTAAGAGAGCCTCAGTTCATAGGGGGCAGGGTCAGTTTGAAGCATCTGTCAGGATGTCCAAAGAGAGACCTAGCAGGAGGACATCAGGTGCCACACCCACCGGAGTCCAGAGGATAGCAGGTATGGCCCAGTGAACACAGATGTGTCCCTATCTGGTCCGTTTCTCTGGGTTCTCTTCAACTTGCGTTGTGAAATCATATAGAATTTTAGATTCTGCACTTAACAGAGCAGAGGAAACATTTCCCCACACATTCCTAAACCCTTTGCAAAAAGCCTCCATTTTCATGCTTGGAAATAATCCTCGGTGTGAATGTTTCACCCCCGCTCACCTTCCCCTCCATGGATATATGTCATTTCCTGAACGCGCTAGGCACAGTGTCACAGACCCATGATGCCAACATGTAGGAGTGAAGGAGGAGGATCAAGAGTTCGAGGCAGGGACTGGAGAGATGGCTCAGCAGTTAAGAGCATTTGCTGCTTATGGAGAGGACCCAGGTTTCATTCCCTGTACCCATTTGGTGACTCACGACCAACCATCTGTAACTCTAGTTCCAAGGGATCTGATACCTCTTCTGAGCTGCTGGCCATTAGGAACACCTATGTATAGGCAGAGACAAGCAGGCAAAATGCCCATACATACAAAATAACTCCTCCCCCAAATTTGAAGCAACACAGTAGATGGTAGGTCAGCCTTGAGAAATTCTCTCAAGAAATCAGAGACTAGGGGTATAGCTCAATTATAGGATACTTGCTTAGCATGCTAAGCCCTGGGTTCAATTCTCAGCACCATACACAACAAAAGTCATTCCTGGGGGTGATGGTGGTGTTCTGAAGGGGACCATTCACGGTCTGGTGGCAGAGAAAGGTGAAGAGAGCTGCATGGCAGAGCAGGGCTGCTAGGCCTTTGGCATCTGGAATCCAACCGTGGCAACTCTGAAGGGGCTGTAACCTGGCAAGGGGGTGTTTCTGTCATCACATACCGAATCCTCAGGACATGAGTACACAGAACAGGACAGCCAGGCAGGCCTCAGTGGTCTCTCAGAGTGCTTGGTGGTCAGATATTGAATGTAGGGGAAAGGGGCCTGCACAAGGCAGTGGGTAAGTCAGGTGTAGTGACACATGCCTTTAACCAGCCCAGCTAGGGAAATAGAGGCAGGAGGATCTCTGAGATTTTAAGGCTAGCCTGGTCTACATAGCTAGTTCCAGGTCAGCCAGACTATATAGTGAAACTCTGTCTCAAAAAAAATTTAAAAGGGGGGGGGGCTGGAGAGATGTCTCAGGGGTTGAGGGCTCTGACTGTTCTTTCAGAGGACCCAGATTCAAATCCCAGCACCCACATGGCTGCTCACGATTGTCTGTAACTCCAAGATCTGACACCTTCACACAGACATGCATGCAGGCAAAACACCAA